AATATCCCATGATAAAAACTAGAAGGAAGCTGTCTGAGGACCCACTTTGTGATGTGTACATTCATCTCATTAAACTTTTCTTTTCATTCATCACTTTAGAAACACTGATTTTGTAGAATCTGCAAAGGGATATTTGGGAGTGCATCAAGGCCTATTGTGAAAAATAATCTTCAGATAAAAACTAGAAGGATGCTGCCTGTGAAACTGCTTTGTGATATGTGGATTCATCTCACAGAGTTAAATCTTTCTTTTGATTCCACACGTTGGAAACACTCTTTTTGTAGAATCTGCAGAGGGACATTTGGGAGACAATTGAGGCCAATGGGGAAAAAGGGAATATCTCCAGGTAAAAACTCTAAAGAGGCTATCTGTGAAACTGCTTTGTGATGTGTGGATGCATCTCACAAAATAAATCGAATCTTTTGATTCAACAGGTTGGAAACACTCTTTTTCTGGAATCTACGAAGTGACGTTTTTGAACCCATTGTGGCCTATGGGGAAAAATTGACTATTCCCAGGTAAAAACGAGAAAGAGGTTATCTGTGAAACTGATTTATGACGATTGGATTCCTTTCACATACCTAAAACTTTCTTCTGATTCATCAGGTTGGAAAAACTCTTTTTGTGGAATCTCTGAAAGGACATTTGAAAGCCCTTTGAGGCTATGGGAAAAACCAAGTATCACCAGATAAAAACTAGAAAGAAGCCATCTGAGAAACTGCTTTGTGATGTGTGGATTCATCTCGCAGAGTTAAACCTTTCTTTGGATACAGAAGGTTGGAAACACTCTTTTTCTAGAATCTGTGAAAGGACATTTAGGAGCCCATTGAGACCTATGGGGAAAAACATATCCCTAAAGAAAAACTAAAAAGAAGCTATCTGTGAGATGTGTAGATTCATCTCACCAAGAAAAACCTGTCTTTTTGTTAAGCATGTTGAAAAAAAGTATTTTTTCTAGAATCTGTGATGGGACATTTGAGAACCAGGTCTTGAACTCCTGACCTCAAGCAATCCTCCTGTCTTAGGGTCCCAAAATGTTGGAATTACAGATGTGAGCCTCTGTGCTTGGCCTGCATTGTTATTTTTTCTAAATTTTCTTCAGTATTTCAGCAAATAGCAGGCACACAGAAAATGGTTACTCAAAGTTTTAAATTGAATGATTGTAAAAGATTACTGAAAACATAGCAGAAAATAAATTTTCAAAACCAAAAATAGAGAGAACACATTCATAAATATTACTTAAATAACAAAACAATTTAAACAGTAAATAATGAAATGGAAATAATTTCACACAGTCTGAAAAGGAAATGTGGTACTTCATACATTTAATATACCCTCACCATACAGAATGTTCTTTCCCTATTACATAACGAGTATATGTATTAAGCACTAAAATTTTGGAATAATAAAAGACTATATTCATATTTGGTAACTTATTTATTTAATCAGAAGAGGTTTCCAACATAAATAAATAGATTGAACTTACTTTGTATGAAAATTGCATTATCTAAAACTTCACAGAGAAAATAGGAAAACTCCACATTTAGTGTTCAGGTCTGCTAAGTCATATTTTTAAATCTAAGTATAAGCATGAAAATGATTTCATTGTCATGGTAGTAATAGCTGAACTGGTCAATAAGCAATAAGTAAGTCTTGTTTAAGAAGTAGTTGTTTCTGGTAACCACTATAACCCCACGTTTTTGGAGTTACACGTTGGCAGTGATATTGGCCATATAATTCCTTATGGTACTGATGGCAGATAAGGAATTTTGTATAGGAATGACGATGGTAGGTGTTAGGATTTAATTTGTAGGTATACTAACCACAGTTGCCCTAGAATAGGTCATTAGAAAATTGCCATTTTGGTCAAGTGAGAGTAGTAATCAGACTTAGTCAATTCATTAGAAAAAATGAAAGCTTTGCATTTATGAATAAGTGGTGAATGGCTTTGAATAACATGAAATAGAAATTGTAATGCTTGTAGATTCCAGTGATAGGCTATTAAAAGGTTCAGTAAAGTTTTGTCTGTTGTAGGAGTACATAGAGTAGAAATGTGGTGGTCTCTATTGTGAAATTTCAGTAGATGTTATAGGAATAGCAACTTTTGTTGATGGAGCATGATTGTTGTGGCTATGAATGGACTCATTTGAAGGGGCAGTGGAAGAGCTGGCAGTATAGTGAGAGCAGATTATGTAGAAACTATAACTGCGATTTCATTTTCTATTAACAGGTAATGATGCTCATGGAGATTGTAAATTGAGCTGATATTGCTAGAGAGTCGTGATCGAAGAGTCAGTTGAGTTAGTAGTGTATGTGTTGGCTTTCATTTAGTTGAGTTGGTGGCAGTGAAGGTTAAAGATGTTGGTTTAGTTGTATCAGAAAACAGAAGAGACTCAGTAACTGAGTTGGAGGTAGCTATTGTGAGGGTTGTAAATTCAATTAAAGTGCAGGTAGTAGTGTCTGATGATTTTGTTAAAGTAATAATCATTTGTAGGTTCATTTGATATGAGAGTAATTCAGGGTTGAGTTAAAAGTTGTTGGATGATTTATGTAGTTGTAGCTTCAACCGAAGTGGGAGTTTCGGCCACTGTGGATACCAATAAGTGAGACTGTTATTGTAATCTTATGATACTAGATTCAGTAAAAGTTACAATGGTCATAGACTTAGCTAATATGAACCTAGTTGTCATGGCTGTGGCCTCAATTGAAAAGATAATTGTGATTGTGGTAATACATTCAGTTGAAGGAACAAAGCTTGGAGTTACAGTGATAAGTTTGGATTAAGAGATGGTGCTCACAATTATGCTGACATGTTCAGATGAGGTGCTACCAGTAGATGTAGTTATACTAACTTCAGTTAAAGTAGCAGCTGCTGTTGTGATTATTAGTTTATTTAAAATGGTAGCAGGCCAGGTGCAGTGGGTCATGCCTGTAATCCCAGCACTTTGGGAGGCCAAGGTGGGTGGATCACGAGGTCAGGGGATCGAGACCATCCTGGCTAACATGGTGAAACCCCATCTCTACTAAAAATACAAAAAATTAGCCAGGCATGGTGGCACAGGCCTGTAGTTCCAGCTACTTGGGAGGCTGAAGCAGGAGAATCGCTTGAACCTGGGAGGCGGAGGTGGCACCACTGCACTCCAGCCTGGGTGACAGAGTAAGACTCTGTCTCAAAAAAAAAAAAAAAAAAAAAATGGTAGCACTACCATTAGTGTCTACAGACTCATTAGATGAGGTCCATGGTTGCTGTTCTGTTAAATTCAGCTGCAGTGCTATATATGGTTATGTGGTTTGTGGTTAAATTGAAGGAATGGTTGCTGTTGTGATAACTGGTTCTTTCGAAGCAATAGTCCTGACTCTTATACTTACAGGCTAGTAGAGATGCTGCCTATGATTGTTATGATAATGACCGTAGTCAAAATGGTGGCTATTTCTGTTTTCCAGGTTTAGTTCAGTCAAAGTGATGGATGCTGTTGGAGTAGTGAGTTCAATAGAAGTAGTAATGGGGACTTTTGTGGTTGTAGCCTGAGTAGGAGTGCCTGTGGTTGTTGTGGTGGTCAGTTCAGGTGAACCAGTGGGTGCAGTTGTGGTTGAAGATTCAGTAGAAGCAGAAGTTGGGATCATTGTGATTGATGGCTCAGTGGAAGTCCCTACAGTTGTTGTACTAGTCTGTTCAGTGGGCATCATGGCTGTTATTGTGGTTGTAGACTCACTGAGGGCAATCACAGTGGCAATTTTGGTTGTACCCACCGTGGAAGTACCAACAGTCATTGTAGTAGTCTGTTTAGTTTCAGTGCTAGCTGCTATTGTGGTTGCGGGTACAGAAGAAGGGAGAGTGGTGGCTGTTGTAGTTGTAGCCACAGTGGAAGGACCTGATGTATTGTGGCAGTTGTTTCAATGGAGGTGCTGGCTGCTATTGGTGTTGTCGATCAAGTAGAGGAGGTAGTAGTGCTCACCATGGTGGTAGCATCAGTAAAAGTGCTGGCAATTAGGTGGTTGGTTGGATTGAAGTGGTGACTTCTGAGGAAGAAGTGGTGGTGGCTGATGTGGTTGAAGACTCAGCAGAAACTGCTGCACTTGTGGTAAACCGTTAAGTTTCAATGCTGGCTGTTGAACTGCCAGGATCAGTAGAGGTGGCAGTGTTGGTAATTATGGTAGCAGTATCAGTGGAAGTGCCTGCAGTTGTTGTGCCAGAGTGTTCAGTTTCAGTGCTGGCTGTTGTTGTGGTTTTAGGTTCAGTAGAGATGGCAGTGGTGGCTGTGGTGGTTGTAGCTTCAGTGGAAGTGCCTACAGTTGTTGTGGCGGACTGTTCAGTTGCAGTTGCTGACTGTTGTTGTGGTTGTGTGTTCAGTAAAGGTGGTAGTGGTGGCTGTTGTGGTTGTAGCCTCAGAGAAAGTGCCTGCAATTGTTATGGCAGACTATTCAGTTGCAGTGCTGGCTGTGTTATAGTGCTTGGTTCAGTAGAGGTGGTAGTGGTGGCTGTGGTCATTGTAGTCTCAGTGGAAGGGTCAGCAGTTTTTGCAACAGGCTGTTCAGTTGCAGTGCCAGGTGTTGCTCTACTACTGGACTTGGAAGAGGTGGCAGCAGTGGCTATTGTGGTAGAAGTGTCAGTGGAAGTGCCTGCAGTTCTGGTGGCAGAATGTTCAGTTGAAGTGCTGGCTGTTGTTGTGGTTGTGGGTTAAGTAGAGGTGGCAGTGGTGGCCACTGTAGTTGTAGTCTCAGTGGAAGTGCCTGAAGTTGTAGTGGCAGACTGTTCAGTTACAATGCTGGCTGCTGTTGTGGTTGTGAGTTCAGTAGAGGTGGTCGTGGTGACTGTAGTGGTTACAGCCTCAGTGGAAGTGCCTGCAGTTGTGGTGGGACACAGTTCAGTTGCAGTGCTGGAGGTTGTAGTGCGGGTGGTATCTGTTGTTGTTGTAACTGCAGTGGGAGTATCTCCAGTTGTTGTGGCAGTGGTGTCTGTTGTGGTTGTAACTCCAGTGGAAGTACCTTCAGTTGTGGCAGACTGTTCAGTTGCAGTGCTGGCTGTTGTTCTGGTTGTGGATTCAGTAGAGGTGGTTGTGGTTGCTGTTGTAGTTGTAGCCTCAGTGGAAGTGCCAGCATTTGTGGTGGAAGACTGTTCAGTTACAGTGCTGGCTGTTGTTGTGGCTGCGGGTTCAGTAGAGGTGGCAGTGGTGGCTGTTGTGGTTATAGTCTCAGTGGCTGTGGCTGCAGTAGTGGTGGCAGACTATTCAGTTACAGTGCTTGCTGTGGTTGATGTTGTGGGTTCAGTAGAAGTGGTATTGGTGGCTGTTGTGCAGGTAGCCTCAGTGGATGTGCCTGCAGTTGTAGTAGCAGACTATTCAGTTGCAGTGCTGGCTATTGTTGTGGTTGTGGGTTCAGTGAAGGTGGAATTGGTCGGTGGTGTGGCTGTAGCCTCAGTAGAAGTGTCTGCAGTTGTGGTGGCAGACTGTTCAGTTGCAGTGCTTGCTGTGGTTGTCATTGTAGGTTCAGTAGATGAGGTAGTGGTGGCTATTGTGGTTATTGTCTCAGTGGAAGTGCCAGCAGTTGTGGTGGCAGACTATTCAGTTGCAGTGCTGGCTGCTGTGGTTGTGGGTTCAGTAGAGGTGGCAGTGGTGGCTGTTGTGGTTGTAGTCTCAATGGAAATGTCTGCAGTTGTGGTGGCAGACAGTTCAGTTGCAGTGCTGGCTGTTGTTGTGGTTGTGGGTTCAGAAGTGGTAGTGGTGGATGATGGGGTTGTAGTCTCAGTGGAAGTGCCTACAGTTGTGATGGCAGACTATTCAGTTGCAGTGCTGGTTTTGTTGTGGTTATAGGTTCAGTAAAGGTGGCAGTGGTGGATGATGGGGTTGTAGTCTCAGTGGAAGTGCCTACAGTTGTGGTGGCAGACTGTTCAGTTGCAGTGCTGGCTGTTGTTGTGGTTGTGGGTTCAATAGATGTGGTAGTGGTGGCTGTTGTGGCTATTGTCTCAGTGGAAGTGCCAGCAGTTGTGGTGGCAGACTGTTCAGTTGCAGTGCTGGCTGTTGTTGTGGTTGTGGGTTCAGTAGATGTGGTAGTGGTGGATGATGGGGTTGTAGTCTCAGTGAAAGTGCCTACAGTTGTGGTGGCAGACTGTTCAGATGCAGTGCTTGCTGTAATCGTCACTGTAGGTTCAGTAGATGTGGTAGTGGTGGCTATCATGGTTATTGTCTCAGTGGAAGTGCCGGCAGTTGTGGTGGAAGACTGTTCAGTTGCAGTGCTGGCTGTTGTTGTGGTTGTGGGTTCAGTAGAGGTTGCAGTGGTGATTGTTATGGTTGTAGTCTCAGTAGCAGTGTCTGCAGTTGTGGTGGCAGACTGTTCAGTTGCAGTGCTTGCTGTTGTTGTGGTTGTGGGTTCAGAAGTGGTAGTGGTGGATGATGGGGTTGTAGTCTCAGTGGAAGTGTCCACAGTTGTGATGGCAGACTGTTCAGTTGCAGTGCTGGTTTTTGTTATGGTTGTGGGTTCAGTAGAGGTGGCAGTGGTGACTGCTGTGGTTGTAGTCTCAATGGAAGTGTCTGCAGTTGTGGTGGCAGACTGTTCAGTTGCAGTGCTGGTTTTTGTTGTGGTTGTGGGTTCAGTAGAAGTGGTAGTGGTGGAAGATGGGGTTGTAGTCTCAGTGGAAGTGTCTGCAGTTGTGGTGGCAGACTGTTCAGTTGCAGTGTTGGCTGTTGTTGTGGTTGTGGGTTCACTAAAGGTGGCAGCGGTGGCCATTGTGGTTGTAGTCTCAATGGAAGTGTCTGCAGTTGTGGTGGCAGACTGTTCAGTTGCAGTGCTTGCAGTGGTTGTCACTGTGGGTTTGATAGAAGTGGCAGTGGTGTCTGCTGTGGATGTATTCTCAGTGGAAGTGCCTGCAGTTGTGGTGGCAGACTGCTCAGTTACAGTGCTGGCTGTTGTGGTGGTGGAATTAGTAGAGGTGGTAGTGTTGGCTGTTGCGGTTGTAGTCTCAATGGAAGTTCCTGCAGTTGTGGTGGTAGACTGTTCAGTTGCAGTGCTTGCTGTGGTTGTCATTGCAGGTTCAGTAGATGTGGTAGTGGTGGCTGTTGTGGTTATTGTCTCAGTGGAAGTGCCAGCAGTTTTGGTGGAAGACTGTTCAGTTGCAGTGCTGGCTGTTGTTGTGGTTGTGGGTTCAGTAGAGGTTGCAGTGGTGGCTGTTATGGTTCTAGTCTCAGTAGCAATGTCTGCAGTTGTGGTGGCAGACTGTTCAGTTGCAGTGCTTGCTGTTGTTGTGGTTGTGGGTTCAGTAGAAATGGTATTGGTTGCTGTTATTGTTGTAGTCTCAGTGGAAGTGCCAGCAGTTGTGGTGGCAGGCTGTTCAGTTGTAGTGCTGGTTGCTGTTGTGGTTGTGCGTTCAGTAGAGGTGGCAGTGATGACTACTGTGTTTTTGGTCTCAGTAGCAGTGGCTACAGTTGTGGTGGCAGACTCTTTAGCTGCAGTGCTTATTGTGGTTGTCATTGTGGGTTCAGTATAAGTGGTAGTGGTGGCTGTTGTAGCTGTTGTCTCAGTGGAAGTGCCTGCAGTTGTGGTGGCAGACTGTTCAGTTACCATGCTGGTTGTTGTACTGCTGGGTTCAGTAGAAGTGGCAGTGGTGTCTGTTTTATCTGTAATTCCATTGGAAGTACCTTCAGTTGCTGTGGCAGACTGTTCAGTTGTAGTGCTGGCTGTTGTTGTGGTTGTGCATTCAGTAGAGGTGGTAGTGGTGGCTGTTGTGGTTGTAGTCTGAGTGGAAGTGCCTACAGTTGTGGTAGTACTCTGTTTAGTTGCAGTGTTGGCTGTTGTTGTGGCTGTGGATTCAGTAGCGGTTGTGGTGGTGGCTGTTGTGGCTGTTGTCTCAGTGGAAGTGCCTGAAGTTGTAGTGGCAGACTGTTCAGTTGCAGTGCTGGCTGTTGTTCTGGTTATGGGTTCAGAAGAGGTGGTATTGTTGGCTGTTGTGGTTGTAGTCTCAGTGGAAGTGTCTACAGTTGTGGTGGCAGACTGTTCACATTCAGTGCTGGTCGTTGTTTTGGTTGTGGGTTCAGCAGAGGTGACAGTGGTGGCTTTTGTTGTTGTTGCCTCAGTGGAAGTACCTGCAGTTGTTGTGGTGAACTGTTCAGTTGCATTGCTTACTGTTGTTGTGGATGTGTATTCAGTGGAAGTGGTAGTGGAGGCTGTTTTGGTTGTAGCCTCTGTGGAAATTCCCGCTGTTGTTGTGGCTGTGGCTTCAGTTGAAACGGTGACTGGTGATACTGAAGTTGCAACTGAAGTGTTATTGGAGGTCATCGTGCTGGTAGGTTCTATAGAATTGCTTGCAGTGGTTCTTATAATAGTAGGTTTAGGTGAAGTGGATTTTGTGGTAGAATTTATTATAGTAGTGGTAACAGTAGGTTGAGAATCTGTAGATGAGGTTATTCCAGTGGCAGATGAGGGTGTTCCATGGCTTTGGGGAAACTGGATAACAACGGAGGCATTATTATTTTTCTCATTATATACCAGGGATACCATGAGTACTCCAATTGCTGTTGTTATCACACAGGCTAAGAGACAAGCCAGAAAGGTTTTCCATAGAGACCAGTCACAGAAAAAATTTCGTGTCACCTGGAATGGATTTAAGTAAAATTACTAAAGATGAAAATAAATATTTTATGAAAAATTAATGCCATTGTTCATCCTATTTATATTATGTTTTCTTCTAGTAACGTTATAATTACAAGTCTTACACTGAAGTATTTTGCCATTTTGTGTTGATATTTGTATATGATGTGTGATAGAGTCCAATTTCCCTCTTCTCCAGGTGGATATTCAGTTTTTCCAACACAATTTTTGAAAAGACTGTTCTTCATTGTGTGTTCTTGACATCTTTGTTGAAAAACCAATTGATCATAAATGTTTGGGTTTATTTCTGGACTCTCTGTCTTCTTCAATTGGTCTTTTTTTGTGTGTGCCAATACCATCCTGTTTTGATTACTACAGCTTTGTAGTAGATTTTGAAATAGATTACTTCACTGAAAGAATGTATAAATGAAACTAACTTTGCAAAAATTGTAACTGTGAGAAAATTATGATGGTGAAAGAGATCTGATCTAATCAACTCTCATCTTGCCTTTAACTTCCAAACTGTCCTTACTTGTTCCTAGACATAATAGCCCTTCCCCAAAACTAAACTGCCTTTGTAAAGCTAATGAAAGACCACCAGGTTAGGAGGATGAGAGAAGCCTGAATTCTAATCAGGTGTAGACATAAATGATTACCTGTCATTATTCTGGAGATCACAAGATTTACAACTTCCCCAATTACTCCTGCAGATTCTTTCACTATTGTAGCACCTAAGATTGGTCTTTTGAAATTCCTTTTCAGGTTTTTACATTTCTGATGACTGGTGGCAGCAACTGGTCTTCTGGCCCTACCCAGAATCAACTTCAGTGGCCAAAAGGACCATTTCCCACACTCCTATGATTGTACCCCCAACCAGTCAGTAGCACCCATTCCCTAGCCACCTTTCCTTCTCCCAAACTACGTTTGAAAAACCCTAGCCTCCAAACTTTGAGGCAGGTGAATATGAGTAATAATAAAACTCTGGTCCCTCATTTTGCCAGCTCTACGTGTGTGAAAGTCTTTATTGCAAACCCCCTGTCTTGACAAATTGGTTCTATCTAAGCAGTGGGCAAGAAGAGCCCATTGAGCATAAAACAGGAAGATAAAAACTATTTTAAATAACAAATGCTGGGCCCAAATTTTAGTTTTTATTAGGAAAAACCTAGTACTTTTGTTTTCCTTAATGTTCAAAGAAATTTCCACTGATCTCTCATGCTTTCTTATTTACATGAATGTATCTTTCCAAATTAAAAAATAATAGATATCATCTTAGAAACTCTTTATACCTCCAAGGGTACATAAACCATCCAGCCAAGGTTGAAAACATATGAGATCAGAGCCAGGAGGGCTACAAGAAGGCCCACAGTTAGGCTCAGAGGCACGCAGGAAGGCAGAGAGAGACAGATCATCCACAGATTAGGGCCTGGGACCTCAACACATGACGTCATCTTCCACCTGAGCAAGGTTTACAGACAATGTCATTCACTGCCAATGTATTTGTTACCTAGTCAGTACTTCAAAAATAAAAGCCTCTAATTTTTGTTTTCTTTGACCCTCTCTAAAATCCTTATATGTTTTTGTCTTTCTATTAAGATCATTAACTCCTTAAACAAACATCCCCATAAATCTTCTACCTCTCCTATATTCCCTCTCAGTGACTTCACATTTTCAAATGATTTCTCAAAAGAAAAATGTTAATGTTAATTGACTGAATGTTTTTCCTCCAAATATTGGATCAAGAGTATTTTCATGTGGATTATATCTTAATCCAGAAAACCGTGTTGTCCCAAGTATTACCTGATAATGTTGGAATTCTCTGTTTGAAAATTCTGAGTGTTCAAGGGTCGCTGGGCTGGTGCAGACACCAATTAAATTAGTACCAACATCACCAGATATTTCAGTTGATGTAGAGAACTGACATGCTGAATTGTCAGCTTCATTGTTTCTTGGACTCAGGAAAGGCTATAGGCAGAAAAGAATGGGAAAAAGCGTAAAACATATACCACCTATTGAGAAGTCTGGTTCCAGGCCAAACTTCTATATGTGACCTTTCAGATGCAACCATAGGCCACTGCAAAGCCTTCACCTGGAAAGCCTCAAAGAAGAAAGCTGCCCTCCCTGAAGATTTGGTGCAGCTGTGCATTGCAGTATCTGAAGGAAGCTGCAGTCAGGAAGCTGCATTGCATTTATGCACTGCAGTCTCTGAAGGAAGCTGCAGTCAGGAATTCAGCCTCCCCTTTCCCCACACCACCCTGGGCAATCATGCTGTTGAGCACATCTTCATTCCTTGTGTAGGAATTTCCATCTGGAGGCTTGCTTGTTTGGTACAGTGGGGTAGAAGCAGGGGTTGCCTCAGGAGAGATATTGTTCAAGCACTTATGTGCAGATCTCCTTATCTGGGGCATTGGAGACAATTTTCTCCACCCTGACTCAGTACTCAGTTCTTTCCCACTTCTAGGCCTTCTTCCTCTTTCTCCTTCTATCTCCCAGGTCCATAAAATGGCAGAAGCCCTTTATTCAGTGCTCCATTGGCAATGGGGTCATCCTGGTCTATGCTGATCCATTTAACTCTTGCCCAGTGCTGTTATGCGGAGAAAAAAAAATGGAACGTTATGGTGGCTGACACCGTTTCCTCTTTGACCTCTTGCTTATACTATTGCAATAAGTGAATAAGGGCTTAGTCATTACTTTTAGTTTGGCTCAAAGTCCTAATTGAACACCTGGACAGCTAGCAGCTCTCAGCACTTATCATATGACATAGTCACTGTGTTCCTGCCTGTATATCCAAGAGCTATGAAAGTATATGTGATCCATAAGCCATGGATAAGGAAGTTCACAGAAGTTTGATTCATAACAGCAAAAAAATGAAAACAACTCAACCGTTCATCAACAGGAAAATGGATAAATTATAAATTATGGTTTGTTTATGCAAATGAAATATTTTACAATTATAGAGAAGAAACCAGTGATATAGATATGGTGATGAGCAACATAAGCCACACACGTAAGAGTACTGTACAACTCCAGTTATACAGAATTCAGGAAAATACAAAACTAAGCTGTGGCAACAGAAATAAGAGTGGTTACCTCTGAAAGGATGGGGTACTGACTGGCAGCAGCCTAGGGGGTCTTCTTGGATGTTGCAAATGTTCTGTATTTAGATTTAGGGGATGTCACAGGTGATCAGTGACTATCTGGGCCAGTGGCAGGGGTGGTAAAAGTAATTTATCAAAACACTTGCAGGTAAAGAAAGGTAGATTTATCAGAGAAAGTTGCAAAATAAGTTGCAAGGAAACAGTGGGCAAGTTAGCAAGAGAGGAGCTGATGGCAAGGAGATAAATGCTTGCTGGGGATTTTGTAGGAAGGTGCCTGTGCTGTGTGCTGAAGAGGGATTTATGCAGTATTGATAATGCCAAGATTGCAGTGAGCTAACTTGCAGGTGTCTGGTGATCGGCTGGGCACAGGAAGATTGTGAGTTATTTGCATTGGACAGCTGTGTGTCCTGGACGATGAAGAATGGCAGACTTATATCTTATCTGCTTTTGGTTTTTGCTTTTGAAAGGACACAAAGATAGATGTGTACCCGCCCCCCACCCGCTACACCCTTGTTCTGCTCTCTAATCTTTGCACATACCAGAGGTTTCGTAAGTTCTGTAACTACATGTTTCTCTTTCTGAGGCCAGGTCACAAGGAATGTTTAAGTCAGATAGCCAGGTCACAAGGTGTGTTTAAGCAAGATAGCCATAAACTGGTCGTGCAACCTGATGCAATATAATTAACTGCCTTTGTGTAAAACTGCTCTTCCGCCTCAAGGGTTGTACTGAAATATCAGAAATGGCGGGAACCAATCATAGTTTGCCAAATCGCTTTGTTCAAACTCCAGCCAATCATACCTCTAATATGTATAATGATTCTATGCCTACTTTCCTTAGACTATATAACATTGTTCGGAGCTCAGTAGGGGAGCTCTCCTGCCCGTCTCGTTTCACGAGCAAGTGAGAGCTCCAGGTTCAAACCTGTAATAAAGATCCTTGCTGCTTAGCTTTGACTCTGGACTCTGGTGGTCTTCTTCGGGGAATAAACAGTCTGGGCATAACACTTTACCTTGGTTCTGTCAGCCTGACTCCTTTTCCCTAAATAAGACTCTACAGGGGATGGTTCACAGGTATGTGTTTGATGTATATATGTACGTATATGTGTGTAAAAATTCATTAACCTGTTCACTTAAATACAAGTTTACTTTATGTGTATTTTACATAAAGCATATTGTACCTTAATTTTCAAAAATTCAAAATGAGTACACTAAGCTATAGCATGAATGAACCTTAATATATGAAAATTTTTGAAAATCATGTAGGACATTGGAGAATCCCAAAATGTAATGCAGAGTAGGATGAAACAATCTGACTATATTACAAATTTAAGAATCAACAACTTCACTGAAGTGGATGGAGTAAAAAGGTGCTGACTAAAGGAACTTTGGGAATAAGTGGAGTCTGTCACACTAAAAGCAAAAAACTGGACACAGCATTGAATTACAGTTGATGAAGTTGTTACCTACAGGGGAACAGTTCCATACATGCATTCTGGAATGAAATAATTAAGCAAACGGATGGAGGATGGCAGTGTGGAAGTTAGGTTTCTCCCTATTAGAGTAGAAGTTTACGGATAAGCAAGATAAGAAAGTATAAACCAAAAATAAAATTCTAAGCTGCCCAACCAAATGAACAGACTCACCTCTTGGCCAATGGGATCCCAAAGAACCCTGAAAAACTACTTCAA